TCGGTTTTTCCAGTTCCATACCCCACTTCCGTCATCATCCAGTTCTCTTTCTGAGTGGCAATTGATTGTTTAGGTTTTTTTATTTAAAAACAGTCAGTCAGTCTGTCCCCTCAGCCCCTTTCCCAGCACAGCCTGTGTACCAGCTAATCCCAGGCTTTAGCCCAGGGTAATTCTGTCTGCGGGTGTTTGTGTGAAGGGCACAGTGCAGGGAGCTCTCCTGGAGTGCCAGAGTGACTCATGCCCGGCCATGCTGATGGCACAGAGCCCTGGGATGGCACTCTGGGCACTCCAGTGACGGGACTTTAAATGCACTGAGGGATAAGGGAATAATTTCAACTCCTGCCTCTTGTGTTGCTTTGTCTCTCTGTTCCTTCTCTGTTAGAAGGAATTGTGTGGATCCCAAATCCTGGGCTGCAGATCATCTCCAATCTGCCAAATTTGTGAATGCTGAGGAGCAGAGCTGACTGGGATGACAACAGATCAGGCTTGGACTGCAAACTCAGGGTCACAATCTGATAGGAGTTTGGAGTGGTTAAGAAGCACTTTTAGTCATTCTTTGTGCCTGCAAAAATATTTATGTGGCTGAGTAGATGGGAATGGAATGAGGGGGCTGATCTTGGCTAAGTTTCCTTGCTTTTGTGGGTTTTTTTCCCCCTCTTCTCTGTAGCTTCCCACTGTCTGTTTACTTGGTTGGTTTTAATGCAGGATGGAAGTGTTAAGGCCAGAAATGAAGGCTTGGAGTGTTTATGTGTATGTTTAAGAAGGGGTGAGAAGACAGAGATTGCTGCTTCCAGTTGGAAATAGCCTGGAAGACTTTATCTTTACATCAGCTCCACACTCTGGTTATAATTGTAAAATAAAGTTCATGTTTGACCTGTGCTTTTTGAACTTCAGCTTCAGAAAATTCCAGATTGGATTCTAAGGACAAAAAATTTTGGCAAAAAATGACAACAGGAATGCAAAGTAATACATGTTACAAAATCCATGGGTACTGTCTCAGTGGTGAAGTGGTCCTTCAAGGATTGCTCCAGGTTCTGCTAAAACTGAAAACCAGGGGTGAATTTTGAGCTCCTGGATTGGAAAGGTTGAAAGTGTGTGTTATTTTTGTGCTAGCTGATAAAGCAGATGGTGGTTGGTATATAAAATGTTAATTAAAGAACAAGTGGGATGGACTGTGGCAGTAAAAATGCCAAGAACCGAAGTTGCCTGTTTTAAGTTAAAATCCGAATGTTTTGTGGAGCTTGGTCTATTACTGTTGATGTTATAGCACTTCTAAAATTAGAATTCTCATTGATTGTGCTCCTGCTTTCTCCTTTTGTGAGACTGTGCTGCTCCTACTGTGTACTTGTCCTGTGTAAGGACTAATTACTAAGAGTATTTGCATCTTACACTAAAAAAATTTGGATTATTTGGTGTGAAGAAATTTGTTTTAAAACTGTCCATTCCTCACCATTTGGTCAGTGAGACAGAAACCCCCCCTTCTGTAGTTACAAGTAGCAAAACCCCACCAAACTTCAACAGCTGAAGAGCTAAAAAGAGTTGTTGAAGTTGTTTGAACTGCAGAGAATACGTGGAACACTCCTGCGTGGAGGAAGTGCAGATGGCACGAGGCAGCTCTGCACGGCCTCCTGAATAACTGTGAGGAGAAATAAGCTTTTAAAATACAATCTGTGTCTCGGGGTGGGGGTGGCAGGGGGTATTAAATCAGCTGCTGTTCACACAGGGTGCTTTTATTTCTGGCAATTGATGACATGTCATTACTTGGTCTGTTTGCTTACAAAGATTTTAAATGTTATGTCTTAAGGTGAAGCTTGTCATTCAAAATTTCCAGAAATGCATAATTCAGGTAAAGAGAAGGAATAATGTGGGCATTTATTTCCCTCAACCAAAGCAATGATTTGATATTTTGAAACCATGACTGTTCCCTTGCCTTTTCCTTGGCCTCTCATTCCAAAGGTAAATGATGGGCACGGACCCACCCTGTGCTTGCTGCTCTGCTCCTGGGAGAGGTTTCAGGTTCTGCAGGAGGGAAGGAGGATCTCCAGTTGTTCCATCCTTCCCACACGGGGGGGGTTATGGGAGTGATTTCACTGGCAGTGGCACGGGAGACAGCGATTTTGTGACATATCCCTTCCAGTTCCTGTTAAACTGCAAGATCCCCCCTGGCCTCAGGAGTTGGCTCTTGGTGAAGGAAGGGGGCTGCAAAAGGATGGGCTTTCCCGGGAACTGGCTGACTCCCACACCACGGGCTGCTCCTGATGGCAATTAGATCTGCAGCACAAAGCTTTGGAGTGTCAGTTTGCAAACACAAGAGTTAATTGCCACGTTGGACCTTTGCAATAGCAGATAAACAAATTTCTTCAGTAAGATAAAGAGGCCATTAATGCGTTCCCGCTGTGATCCGCTGCCTTAGTGCTGCCTTATTGCCGCTCTCGGTTCCTGGGGCTCTGTAATTAAAGCAGCAGTGGGAGGACCTGTGGGGAGAGGAGATAACACGACCTACTTCATCACTCACTGATACAATCACCTCGACCTTGCCTGGTTTCAAAACCAAACAAAGTATCTGAAAAGCTTTCAATGTTCTTGTGGATATTGGAGGCATTGGAACAGCTCCTCTTTTGTGTCTATTTGTTTCCTTGTTCAGTGAAAGCAGAGTGTGCTCAGAAACATAGTCCGTAAAATCAGTGGTGCTGACTCAGGCTAATTTCTGCAGCATCATTTCAATTGTTTTTAATTCCCTTCCCCAATTTGGCATATGAACTTTTAGGATAAAGCTTACCTGTACTATTTCTTCAGCAGAACAGATTTCAGGGGTTTGCTTGTCCTTCCAAAGGAGGTGCTTGGTGCAATAGATACCTCCAGGTTAGGTCGGTACTTCAGTTGGAATTCCTGCTTTCTGAGCTGCCTCTCCATCTTCTTCCTGGGGTTTTATCCCACACTGTTGCCCACCTGAGCACTTGGTTTCCAACTCGGAGCACAGCAGACACCACAGGTGTTGGCAGCACCCCTGGGTGCTCAGTGTCCCAAAGGAAGATGGTTTCAGTCCTCCTGAAAGCTGCTGAGGTCACACTCTCGTGTTTTCTCCCTCAGTCAGCTCTGCCGGGTTCATCTGTCGCCTGGGAATTCTGTGAAACCAGTGGTTGTGACAGTGGAGGGTGGAACTGTGTGCAGGAAACGGGAATGGGGGATAAATGAGGCTCCGGGAGCCGAGTGAAAAGGCTGTGCTGGATCCCAGGGTGAGGGCCAGCCTGCAGAGCTGCTGCCAGCAGGGAGCTTTGCTCTGACCATTCCTGCTGCACTGCAAGGGTTTGGCCAGGCAGCTGCATTCCCAACCTCTGACAGAGCTGCCTTCTTGCACTTAAACTCCCTTTCCTGATCCACTTCTCAAGAAATGCTTTGCAAAAACATCCATCCTAGAAACTGGTGTTCAAAACAGCGAGCTGGATGTGGAGCTCGGTGTGAGGAGCTGAGGAAAGCCTGGCCGAGAACATAACAATAATAATAATAAATAAGGACTTAAAATGGGGCAGAGTGGAATGACTTGCATAAGTCACAGAGCCTGAACTTTACTCTTCACAAATGTGCTGGATCAAATTTAAGCTGGAAGCGAGTGGGGTGAAGTAATGGCAAGCTTCTAGTGCCTTTGCAGGCATTAATTGGAGCTGGATTTTTATTTGTGCTGCTTTTTTTGGGTAGGAACTTCCAGGTACAAGGCATTGCCTCTTCCTTACCTTTCAGAGCTTCCCATCAAATGTGAAATGAGAAGCTGGATAGTAGCAGTCTGGAACACACTGCAGGGAGAGAGCTGAGTTAAGTTTGGGGCAGGGCAGCTGTCTTGTGGGATTTGTTTTTTCTTCTCTTCAGAGAACAAAACTGTGGGAGCTGTAGCTGTGCTGCTGTTTGGGCAAAGCCAACAGAGGGGAGTTACAGCCTTGTATGATTGCCTGGGTCACAGTTTGTTCTGTGTTGGTGCCCACGTTGCTACCCAGAGCCACCAGCAGTGCTGCAAGTTGATACTGTGCTGGTGCAGATGATTCATCGGCTTTGCCTGTCTGTCAGCTTTTTTAAGGCAAGAATGTCAGCACAAGGTGCATCCAAGTGAAACCGAGTTGGCCACGAGAAACAGAGTAGCAACTGTTGCTATTTGCAATCCGGACAGTGATCTTTTCTCCACTCTGTCGTTTTGGACAACAGCCCTGCTCAGGGACACAGCATCTGGTAGAGGAGGGATTTCATTTTGCTGGGGGTTCTGTAACCACGTTGTGTGCGGGATGAGTGGTATCAGGATGTAAATCATCCCCAGGAAGGCTGCTGACACCTCTGTATGGCTTCTTGCTTTGTGGATTTGTTTGCTCTTCCCATAATTAGTGTCTCATCCCCAAAGGCAGATCGCCGCTTTAGGTGCAGGGGTGGGTGTGTGTAAATCTAAGGTGGTTTATCTAATTTTGACACCCTCAGGACTGGACCCTTTTACAGTCCTTACACAGATGGTGTTGAAAACAGCTGCTGGAAATAACAGATTTCAGCATTTCCAGCACTGTAGCACCCAAAAGAAGGAAGCAGTAGAGATTCACTTCTACAACCAGGGCTGTGCTTATAAGTTATTGGAATACAGAGGCTACAGACATTAAAATGACAGCTGGATCCACTGTTACTCCCCTCCAGGCAAAGGTTATAGGAAGGGGTTTTGTAGCTGGGAAGGAAAAAACACCAAAACACCAACCTAAAGGTGCCTGGCAAAGCTTTCACTGACTGTGGGGAATGCACAGAACTTTTTTTAGCAACATCATATTCCTTTTAGGAGTCTTTTTTCTTGACTGACTTGAACTAAGGCCTCCAGAAATCCAGTGAGGAAGGGGTGAGTCTGTTCCCTCAGTCATCTGACTCCTGTGCCGTGGGGCACCTCGGGGTATCAGAATCACAGGCTGGGGGTCAGCCAGCTCCTTAATGGTGCTCCTGAATGTCAAGTTAACTGAGAGTGTGAACTTTATTTCCTGTAGGTATTATCAACCCAAAGAACCCTAAGGAAGCACCAAAGTCCTTCAGCTTTGACTACTCGTACTGGTCCCACACATCGGTGAGTGTTTCCCCAAGAAGAGCCGGTTTTGCTGTTGTTGGTGTGATTGAACCACATTCCCTCTGATCAAACCACCCTGTCAGATGTTTCTGCACTGCCTCTGTCAGCCACATTCAGGTTAAAAGCTTGGGTGTTGTGTTGCCCTCTTTGGGGAGAGCAGAAAGCTGAACCAAGCTGTAAATATTTGAAAGGTTGTGTGAGCCGCAGATAATTCAGTTGTCCTCTTACACAAGTGACAGTTGCTCGAGTTCTCACAGCTCGAGGAGGGATGCTGTCTGTGTTCCCTTGGCATATCTGGAAGAGGCAGTGTGGTGATCCATGTTTTCAGTAGCTGCAAAAGCAATAAATTCTCATCTGGCTGCTCTGCCCCACCCTCCCGTGAATCGGGGCTCAGCTCTCGCTGACTTCCAGCAATTGTTCTCCAGCAGAACTGTGTTGTTCTGCCACCTCCTCCTCCCTGCCCTGTTTTCTAAAAGATACATAAAGAAGGGATAATGCATTTCCCTAGGATTAATTTTAGTAACTTGGTGAAATAAGACAATATTTCCGAGCAAATCTGTGGCCAACAAGATTGTTTTCAAGACAAAAACCCCTCACCTCCCTTACTGCTCCCTTGGAGCAGCCCTGTAAGTTGATTACAGACCAGTCACAAGAACATTGGGAACGTAATGCCTGAAAATGAGCAGATAAGCAGCATCAGGGAACAGAGGAGGTCTGATAAAATCTTGATCCCAACATTAGAATGTTAGCACAGCTAAATTTGTCCTGATTTCGGGAGCAGGTAATGTTCAGATCCAGCATTTCAGGAAGCAAGAGAATGCTAGATTAGGAGTGAGATATCCTCACAAACAATGCAGTGACATGGTCATTGTCATTCCTCTCCAGCTTTTGCTACCTTGAGAAAAAGCTGTGTGTAAAAACGGGCTAATTCACCTCTTGCTGAGGGACTGACCCACCAGATAGAAGCTGGAAAAAACCCCATTGCTTTCGAAATGTTACTAGAACGGTGAATAAGTCTGCACTGATGCTGTTCCCCTGTCTTTGCAGCCCGAAGATCCCTGCTTTGCGTCGCAGAGCCGCGTGTACAATGACATCGGGAAGGAGATGCTCCTGCACGCCTTCGAGGGCTACAACGTCTGCATCTTCGCCTACGGCCAGACCGGCGCTGGCAAATCCTACACCATGATGGGCAAGCAGGAGGAGAGCCAAGCAGGCATCATCCCCCAGGTACAGCAGGGCCCAGCAAGGGCATTCGGTTTTTAGAATCACAGAACGGTTTGGGTTGGAAGGGTCCTTTAAAGCTCATCTCGTTCCAACCCCCTGCCATGGGCAGGGACACCTCCCACTAGCCCAGGTTGCTCCAAGCCCTGTCCAACCTGGCCTGAAATATTCCAGGGATGGGGCAGCCACAGCTTCTCTGGGCAACCTGTGCCAGGGCTTCACCACCTTCACAGTGAAGTCCTTCCTAATACCTAATCCAAGTTCCTCCTGCATCATCTTCAGACAACACTTGCTGATACTCCCTTTTTATATTGCAGTAACAGTTAGCAGAGAACTGCAGCTGACTATTTTATAGCAGAGAATGGTGATATTGGTGAAACCTGGGGCAATTGTTGAGATACCAGATAAAATAATGTTGATAGTGATGCAGAAGTGAGATTAATTATCCTCCCGGTGAGGCTGCATGGGTTTGATGCATTAGGTTCTTTTTCTTCCCCTGCCCTCATTCTAAAGCCATTTCAGTGACATGTCATAGTAGTTACTTGTTACTCCTCGGAAGAGACTGATTTCTGACTCGGGTTTAATCTCTCCCCAGCTGTGTGAGGAGCTGTTTGAGAAAATCAATGACAACAGCAATGAGGAAATGTCATATTCTGTAGAGGTGAGTGTGCTAGGTCATCAAAGGATATCTGTCTGCTGGACATCAAACTGAGCTTGGGTGCTGGGTTACTGATGTTGCATTAAGATGCTGATTTTTGGTGGATTTTTTTTTTTAAATTTTATTTTTTTTAAGCTTTATGCCTTTTTCCCGTTTCACGTTTGAGGCAAACGCAAATAAAACCTTCGTGGGACTCTTTTTTTACCCCTGACAGAAAACTCGTTTACCTTTACCTGTATAGTATTTCTGAAAGAAATGATGGGCTGGAAAACCTAAATGTTCATTGTCCTGTTTTCAGGTGAGTTACATGGAGATTTACTGTGAGAGGGTCAGGGACTTGCTGAACCCGAAGAACAAGGGGAACCTGCGGGTGCGAGAACATCCTCTCCTCGGGCCCTACGTGGAGGATCTGTCCAAGCTGGCAGTGACATCCTACACAGACATTGCAGACCTCATGGATGCTGGGAACAAAGCCAGGTGAGTGGGGGGGGTGTGTTTTATAGTTTTAGCACTGGGATGTACTTTAAGAAAACCCCTCGTGTAAATGAGGAGTGCTATTGAAATGTGCACCCATCAATGCTATTAAAAGGCTGATATTAATTTATGTGGTGAAATAGTGCTGCAAATCACTGTGCAGACATCTAAAGGCTGTAATGAGACTTGAGGGGAAGTGTCTAAATAGTTATACTGGCATTTAGTTCTTCCTCTGCTGTGCACTGTGTCACCATCCTGGTATAAATAAACATGTGAGCTCAGTCCCCTCTGTCCTTCATTCAAGTGGTCAGGACTGAAGTTGGCATTCCAGCTTTAGTTTCTGCTTCATTAGTAGTTGTTTCCATGTCAGCTGTTGGCTCCATTTAACAATGTGTGGGAAAGTCTCACAGAAGTGCTGCTCCCATTTTCTTGGGTGTTTGCATGTGAGGTAGATTATCCAGTCCACAGATTGAGAAAGCCCTTTTTAAGCTCTGACAAAAACAGAGGTAGTTCAGGAGTGAAAAATCCAAGAGTTTATCAACGGGATTAGGTGTGCCTTGATTTTACTTACAGGGCAGAGCATCACCTGTCCAGCTCTTGCTCCCCTTCCTCTGCAGCTGCATTCAGCCCTGCAGGAGCTGTGCTTTTCGAAACATGCCCAATATCTGTTCCTATTTCAGGACTGTGGCAGCCACCAACATGAACGAAACCAGCAGCCGCTCCCATGCTGTGTTTACAATTGTCTTCACTCAGAAGAAACACGACACAGAAACTGATCTTTCCACAGAGAAGGTGTGGTACAGATAAGTGGTTTTCTGACTGTTCTTCACTAATCTTTCCCTGCAGTGACTTATTCTTGTTGGCAGGGTGAGGAGAACATGAGAATTGCTTTTTTTTCTGGTGATTTAAGGGGTGAACTTGCTGTGTGCCTTGACAGAGCCCATTTATTTCCTGTGGGATTTTGTTTGACTGTGATTCTAAAAAACAACTAAATGGGGACTGTGTGCAGGAGGAGAATATACAGACGTGGGGAAAATATGGCCTTAAGGACTGGGTTCTGAAATAAAGCATGCAAAAGGAGCTGAAATACAGGTAATATGCATGTTTCTGAACTGACTGCTGTGGACAGACCTGAAAAAAAATCGTTTATTGAAGAAACCCCCCTAAATGATAAGACCCTATAAAATGAATTATCAGAGTTAATTGTCATTAGCTGCCCTGCCTCACTGAAGCCACAGACTGCCAGTGCTTTGCTGGTGATGCCACCAGAGCCAGGATGAAGTGTGGTTTCTCTTCCTTTGAGATTCTTGTGTTGTCTGCAGCAGTAAAGCTTCATTCCCTCTGACTCCTGCTGTGTTCATGTGAGACCTCATTGTCCCTTCTAGGTATAGTGATACTTAAACCAGAGCATAATCCCAGACACTTCTTATCCCTGAGATAACAGCATCAAGCTAATTGCTTGTGAAAACTGTTTGACTGCAGCTTTAAGGACACTGGGGTGGCTTTTTTAGTCAGTGGAGTTGTTCCATTGCCGTAGAATTCGTTGGAGTTTTGGTTTTGCTCTAATTCTCAGGCTGATGTGCCTTTTCTCTGCAGGTCAGCAAGATCAGCCTGGTGGATCTGGCTGGGAGTGAACGAGCTGACTCCACTGGGGCCAAAGGAACCCGGCTAAAGGTACAGATGGAAAGGAAAAGGAGGGATTGCTCTTACAAATGTGGAAAAAACAGTTGTGAAACTGAAGACTACAGAGATTGGTGGCTGAACAGTGTTAATTGCTATATAACGCCGTCTCCTGTTTTTTTCAGGAAGGAGCAAATATAAACAAGTCCCTCACAACTCTGGGCAAAGTTATTTCAGCCCTGGCTGAAGTGGTAAGTGCAGCATTTACTTACCTGCAACAACCTTGGCCCAGCTGGTACAACTGAGTCAGTGAAGTGGCTGGAGTACAGCAGAACCATTCCCTGTTCTTGGCCTCACATTCCCAGCCCAATTAGCTGTGTGTGTTTTGACAGATGAAAGTGCTGATACTCTTGTGTGGAGGTCATGCAGGCTGGGAGGAACTTGCTTTGTGGGCAGATGGGAGCAGTGTTTGGTTAAGTGTGAAGAAACCTTGCAAAAGCAGCCTGTGTTTGTGTGGCAGACGCGTTCACAGAGCAGTTCTGCAGAGCAGGAATTTCAGTTTTGTTTGAGAGAATAATTTTAGAAAACTAAAGTGCAGCTTTGTTATTCAAAGCTGGAGAAATACCAGGGTAGTATTTGATTATCACTGGGTTTTTTTTGCAATGGCAAGACTTAATAAGGTGTTAAGTGAGCATATGTTGAGCATATATTGATCCAAGCAAAAGGTTGTAAGTTTAGAAAAGTACTGTCTTTTACTTTGATACTCAGCTATTGTTCAAAAAAACCCCACAACAACCCAAAACAAATAAATTATTGTTGTTCCTTTTAAAAGTGAGTTTTCAACAGTTGGACAGGCTTGAATGTGTTTAGGTGCTTTCAAAATTTTTCTGGTTTTAATTGAAACAATTCTCATTCATTTGGGTTGTCAGGAAGAGAAAGTACTGTTCAAGCTAACATGGAAATTATGTATAAAGCTCTGTTAAGAAGCTCATCCTGTGTCTTCTTCCTCTTTCTTTAATGCTTTCAACTTAGGATAACTGCACCAGCAAGGTAGGATGCTCTGTGTAGTTGCAGTAATTTTGGGGGTTTTTTGCCTGAGTGTAAGGTTTGCTACTTAAATTTTCCTGGAATGGTGTCAGAACACAGAATTTAAGTGTCAGAAAGATATTCTTCATACGCAGCAAAACCTTTCTGAAGGCAGAGCATCCAGGGAGTTCCCTGAACTGCTTCCCATGGTCTGCTGAGGTGTCAGAATGTGGTGCAGGTTATCTTAACACCAAACTGAGCAATCATTTGTACAATCAGGGGTGAGCCCCCCATGTTTAGGGAGCACATGTGTGTGTTCTCATGGTCCTTTTAATACCCACACTGTGAAGTTTATGTCCTAAATTTCCTTTTCCTGTTCAGTGTTTGTTTTTCATATTCTGTTATTCCTTTTTGTAGAGTAAAAAAAAGAAGAAGACAGATTTTATACCCTACAGGGATTCTGTGCTGACGTGGCTGCTCCGAGAAAATCTAGGTATGGCTGCTCTGTCTGTGCCAGTGTGGAAGGAAAGTCTCACTGAACTTCCTGACTGCTTTTAACTCACTTAAAATTGCATCAAGTGTTATGTTAAATAGTTTTAGTAAAATCTTGAATTGTCACAGTCCCACCCTGTGTTAATGTTACAACCCTTTCCTGTGATTTCTGCATGTTTCTTGGCAATGGAGACCGTAGTTGAATTCTGTAATTTCTTGAGAATACAGATATTTAGTAGGTAATTAGGTGGTGCACTGTAATTTCAGCTCAAATCTTGCCTGTTCATTATAGGTGGTAACTCCAGAACTGCAATGGTTGCTGCTCTCAGTCCAGCAGACATAAACTATGATGAAACTCTGAGCACTTTAAGGTACTTCCTTTGTCTCTGAGAGGGATGTGGGTAACTGTTTGCTCTCGTGGCCATATTTTGTCCTTCAAACCTTTGGGTTATTATACTTTGAGAATATCTGTGGGGAAAGGAGACTGTGCTGGCAAGAACTCGATTACCCTAAAGAGGAAACCCAATTTTTAGAGGTTTTTTGCCAGGGATTTATTGCCTACCCTTAACTTGAAAAATCAGACTCATCTTCCTGTGTTGGTGTGTAAGAACATACCTTCAGTGTTGTCCCTAAAACTGAGCATATTGGTCAAAGCACTGAATAAAGGAAAATAATAATTGTCGGTCCTACATCTTATTAATCCACCTCAGACAGAACTTGTCTCTTTTCTGCATGGCCGGATCTAATCCAGCCATACCCTCTCCTGTGCCACACAGCTGCAAGCTGAAGGTGCAGTGTTCCGTGGTGCTGCATCCCTGGGTGGCACAGCAGCAGTTCCCAGCTTGCTGGGAGGTCTCATGGCTGCGCTGTGGTTGCAGATACGCCGACCGCGCGAAGCAGATTAAATGCAACGCTGTCATCAACGAGGACCCCAACGCCAAGCTGGTGAGGGAGCTGAAGGAGGAGGTGACGAGGCTGAAGGATCTGCTGCGTGCTCAAGGGCTGGGAGATATTATCGACAGTAAGTGGATTAAACACACCTTACCATCTTGAGCTTGGCCTCTCTGGCACAGGAGGGAGAGCTGGGCCTGGGACAGAAAGGGATTTAAAGCACCAGATTTAAATATAGCTGCTGAAATGTAAGATTGGAAATTCTAGAAATGGCAGCCTCTTCTGTCTTTAAGCAGCCAGGATTGTCTGTGGAGTTGCCACCTTCAGACTCTCAAGGAGAAACACAGAGTGTGAATTTCCTATTACTGTGGAAATGCTTTTGTGTAACAGAACTTGCCCATTCAGGAGCTGCCCTGGTGAGTTATGGAGGGCTTTTTGTCTGGCTGCCAGTGAAAGGAGTTGAGATAGAGAAACTCAGCTTCATACTGAGAATAAAAAGCATCTTTTCTTCCCCCTCAAAGGCTTAGGGTTCTGGGTTGATACCTGGCTTCAATGCCATCCTCGCTCAGAAAAGGAAACAATGGCTCATGTCAGACAATGTCCTGAGTGACAAATCATTTGTCATCTTGGAATAGCTGCGAAACAGCTGCTTGTGAATAACTAACTAATCCTTCTGGGAGGTTCTGAGTGAGCTTGGCAGAGCAGCGTTGTGCTGATCTGCTTTGCCAGCAACCTCTTAAAGCACCAGAACACACTTGTGCCCAATTTCCTTGTGCTCATTCCAAACAAGGCAAATGAAATGGGATTGTAGCTGCCATAGCATGAGCAGTGAATGAATCCCTGGTGAAGGAAATGCCCATAAAAACACACAGTGTGCTCCAGTGGATTGAAAGATTCTTTGACTTAAAAAAAACCCCAACCAAACCAAAGAATATTGCACCAGTTCCTGATCAGAGCTGTTTATCTGTGAAGCAGAAGCCTTTACTTAGTCCCAGGCTGTTTGAAGATGTGTAACATGTATTTACCTCCTTGTTTGCTTGGTTTCAAGAGGATGGGGCCAGAAGACAATGAAATGCAAGTGTTTTCATGCTTGGTACAGTCTGGGGGTTTTGGTTCTGAATCCCAACTGAAGAAACTGTTACTGAATAATTGTGGTTTTGTGCCTTTAAATATCAACTAGAATTCTCTTCCCTTCCTGTGTCTGTAGTGAACCTTCAATTTTGATCCTTCTTGTATTTTCCCTCCTGCTTCCTTTCAGTTGATCCAATGGGAGATGAATACTCTGGAAGTGGAGTCAAATGTGTGTATTGTGTGGTTCTCTTTCTAACCTGCTTTCTCTGGGTCAGCTTTTAACAGAGCTTTGCATGCCAGCATTTCTCACAGGGAAATCCCAGACAGAACACTCGCTGGAATGCAGTGCAGTCCCATGAAAAGCAGCCTCACCAGCACTTCTCAGACTGAGCCCACAGGCAAAAGAAAAGTGCAAAGTTTAAAATGCAGCGTTGCTTTCTTTTGCCAGAACATAGAAGGGAGAGTGGTAGTTCTTTAGTGCATTTTCATGACAGTGAACGGTTTAGATTTGGAGCAGAAAATCTTCTTCTCCCACCTTTTCTCAGTTATTTAGTTGAGCGGTTTTTGCTGGTGTTTTAAGGGCTCTTTTCCAGCTAGAAGTTTTAAATGTGCCAGGTGATGAACTCAAGATAAAACGTGATCAGTTCCTCCTGGACACTGAGATTTATTTTGTATAGTTCTTTAAAAGAAAAAGGAAGAAGTTGAGCATCTTATTCTGCTGAAGGTCCCTTATTTGAGGTTGCATACTTGCAGGTGATTAACTTGATAGGGTTAAAACCAGTCAGCAAAGAGCTTTTCATTTCTGATGGTGTTTGCTTCCAAGGTCTGAGGTCAGCAGACTCTTTGAACTCTTTCAGTCTCCTTCTCCCTCACTCAGCATCAGCTGAAAGAGATCTGTCTGAAATTTCCTCCAGTTACAGCTACTGCTGGTGTAAAGCCTCATCCTGGCCTGGCAGATGTGGGGGTGCAGCGTGGGGTGTGTGTGGGTGTGGGAGCTGAGCCCCAGCAGCGTGTGTGGGTGTGGGTGTGGGTGTGGGAGCTGAGCCCCAGCACCGTGTATGGGTGTGGGAGTGGGAGCTGAGCCCCAGCATGGAGGGCAGGGCTCAGCCTCTGCTGCCCCCAGCCTGGGGGAGCCACTGCAGGTGCCTCTTCCCCCCCTGTGCAGGAGTGCATGGCCTTCTGAGACTCCATCCCTGCTCTGTCATGCCTGCTTTCCTCATCCCAGCAGCATTGCCTTCCCTTAACCTGCTTTTCTTCTGCTCGACTCCCACCCCCTGCCTCCTGTATTTGCAGATGGTGGTTTTCAAACTGACTCCATGCAATCAGCAGTTCCACGAGGCTGAAAGAGCAGGTTGAGGGTGAAGTAGGGCACGAGGCTGCCAATGGCAGGATTGTCCAGGGGAGGAGGACAGGGAAATCTATGCATCTCATTTTTATAAGTGTGATGCCCTTGTTTATAACTTTCAAGGTCTGATTTGACCTGTTTCTTTCCTGAAGCTATTTCGAAGGATTTGTCTTTGAAATAAAATTTAAAACTATTAAAATATTGAAACAGAGCTATTCAGTTGTCCAGTATTTTCATGTTAGAGGATTTTCTTTTAGGTGTGTGATTATTCTGAGCATATTATTTACAGACATATCCAAGAAGACAAATTAAAATAAATTTCCACTGGATATTTGTTCTTAAATCATTCAGGCAGCTATTCCTTGTTCTCTGTCTATCAGGGTGTCATCTTTCAGACCTCAAGGTTTTCAGGCTACAAAAGCTGCCTCATTAAAATTTAGTTTTTTCTTTTTAAAGACCTTTCTTATTTAAACTAACAACCAAAAAGCTTTGAAGCACCTTGGAGTATTGAGAGCATTATCAGATATTTCACTCAGTTATATTAAATTTCCCTTCTTCAGATAAGGGAGGTTAAGAAGTAACAGAATGGTGATGTTGTGAACTTGTGTTCCCTTTTCCCTGCCATGGGCTGGCAGGTGATTCACATCCTCCCTGCTTCATCCTGTGGTGTGGGTGCTTCCCACAGAACCACTGCTGTGAGAAAGATTTACCTGATCAGCATTTTAGGTTGAAGGAATCTGGAAGAGAATGTTTGGCTGAGTTGGAGGGGTTGGTGTCTCTTCAGAGTTGAGCCCACAGTGTCACTTTTGTCACGAGGACCTGCACCTGGCCCTGCTCTGAGCCCGGTGCTGCTCAGTGAGGAGTAGGATGGTTTCTTTTTGCCAAGTGTGGAATTGGTTTTTTTCAAGCTTTTTGGATCAGAAAGGTTTAGGCTGCAGTCCCTCCTAGTAATCTCAGGATCTGAGTTATTCTGTTACTAGTATTAAAAGATTTGTTTCAGAACTGCCATCTAAAAATTACAAAACTTGTCTTGTTGCTGCTTAAATGCTTTCCTCTTACACTGGTATTTCCTTCCTTTCCTTTTTCCTCTTTCTGCTTCCCTCTTCCTCCCCTTTCCTACTTTCCTTTCCCCCCTCTTCCTGCCTCCCCTGTGTCTGTGTGTCTCTCTCCCAGATCTGAAAGATTTTCAGAACAATAAGCATAGATACTTGCTAGCCTCCGAGAATCAACGTCCTGGCAATTTTTCCACAGCCTCCATGGGGTCCCTCACTGCCTCTCCATCCTCCTGCTCTCTCAGTAGTCAGGTGGGCTTAACATCTGTGTCCAGTATACAGGAAAGAATCATGTCAACACCTGGAGGAGAGGAGGCCATCGAGCGTTTGAAGGTAGGTCTGGAGGAGGGGCCGGGAACGGGGACAGCTTTCCCTCATGAACAGATCCTGGCTCTGCAGGGTGTTGTCTGAATCCCACTTAAAAAGGGCACTTAGTGGTGGGCCAGAAACTGGGTCCGTGCACCACTTTTGCTTGTTGGGATTGTTTAGGTTTTGATTGTGATTATAAATTAAATTCTTGGGGTTTATTTCTGGGCCCTCTGCTACAGTGGGAATTATGGAAAACGGGATCCTAAGCGTAGACTCCACGAGGCCTGCTCAGCACCAGCGTGGGCCAAGTCTGACTTGCAAATGCACTCAGCTTTCAGAAAACCAAATCACCCCAAAGCTACAAAAAGGAGGCAGAAGAATCCTGGCAGTGTTGTGTTCTCCCAGCCCCCACAGATTGAAACGGGAGGCACAGAAGGGCAGTGCTTCCCCCAGACAATGGCAGCCTTGTCCCAGCTCTGCCCGCAGCTGAACCTCACACAGGGGCAGCACAGGGAAGGATTCCTGGATTTTTATGACAGTCCCCCCCCAGTCTCCAGGGGTGGGTGAGTGGGGAGAGCTGGCTGTGTTTAATCTCTGCTCCATTCTCATGTTTGTCCATGAGACACTGGCACAGCGACGGAGCACACGCTGCATATCCCCTTCCTGATGGAAACCCGCTGTTGCCATGGAAATAACAGTGTGGTCTCTGCAGTTCCTTGGCATCCAGTTACTGAATAATGCCTGTAAATCAGATGTTCAGTTTGTTTCCCCCCCCTTAATTTTTTTAAGTGGTTTGAAATAAAGTCTGACTGTGTTTAGATATGAAGTCATCTTTTCTTCTCAGCTGGCCTTCAGGGCTATTTACCCTTTAAAGAATTAAGGGGAAAAAAAAATTAAAATTTTAAAGTGCTAAGAGTGCTTTTTTTATACGAAATTATTTTGAGGCCCAAACTGAGCACAGACTTCAGTTGCTTTGTGTATTGTGTGAAGAGCTTTGGGAAGAGTTGTAAAGCAGCTTCTGATGTTTTCACACAGGAATCCGAGAAGATCATTGCAGAGCTGAATGAAACATGGGAAGAGAAACTGAGGAAAACCGAGGCCATCAGGATGGAAAGGTCAGGAATCGGAAGTGCTGTGATGTGGAAGAGGGAAAAGTGTGGAAAATGGAGATTTCACTGTGTTCACAAACAAAGCAGCAGCAGAATGGTGCTTGGGGATGGTGGTGCTGAGCTTTGTGTGAGATGTGGAACACCAGGGGCACTGCTGAGACAGAGCCCTGCTCCTCCCTGTGCTTCTTGCAGTTAAAATTGCTGTTCCACAGCCTGCCATCTCTGGGACTGAAATTTCCAAACTTGCCCTGCTGTGCCCTGAGCTGGTGACAGCCCTGGATAGACTGGTTCAGAGTCTAATGCCTTCATTTGCAGGCTTTCATTACACCTTATTTGTCTAAGAAACCTCAACTATGGTCAATCCCTTGCTTTTCTCTCTCAGGGAGGCTTTGCTGGCAGAAATGGGAGTTGCCATTCGGGAAGATGGAGGAACCCTGGGAGTCTTCTCACCTAAAAAGGTAGAGAAAATTGATAACCCTTGTGTGGTGTCCCCAAAAGGCTGATCAGCCTGAGAGGAGAGGGGGAGGAGAGTTGAACTTCTGTGGATCTTCCTGCAGAGGATTCTGTGCTCAAGGAGAAGTTTTGCAGCTCCTTGCATGTCTTGCTTTGGTAGGAAATCAGAAATGCAGATGCTGCCTCTGAAGTTTGTAGCCTCTGTCTGCACTAGCTCTGTGTGACCTTCCTGTGCTCTGCCTGTTCTTCTTTGAGACACCCAGAGAAATTTGAAGTCTTGTTTAGATGCTCTTCCTTGAATTTTTTTTTTTGTTAATCCTCCTTCCCCTGAGGAAAAGGGACTGTGATCCGGTGAACCACTGAACAGAGAGGGATGCAGGGGAATATTTCTTTCAGTGCTTGTCAGGAGTTCTGTTTTCTGAAATTTGGAAGAAGCACAACTGTGCAGGGAAAGGGCACAAATCAGTGCTGTCGCTATAAAATTATTAGGGTGGCAAAGAAACCAACTGCAGGTAAAGCAGAATTATTGAAGAACTACAAGGAAAAGAACTTTCCTCAAAAATCTTTGAACAAGGAGCAGGGGGGAATATTTTAGCCTGAAACTTGCTGGTTTGTAATAAAGTGTGTAATAATCTTGATCAAAGGCTAAACAGGGACCTGTTGAGTGGCCTTGTACAGAAAGGCAGAACAGCAGAACTAGTTAAAATGTGTAATCCTTCCCTTTAAGTGGTGTTAGCCTGGGATGTCTGGAGTAGGTAGAACTCCAGCTTGCTTCTGGAATCTGCTCCAGGAGTGCCTGAGGTTTGTAAAGGTGCTGATTCTTTAAATTTCTTTCTCTGATGTTACGGATCCTCATCTCCTTTTAGATTTTCCCTCAGAGGCCATCATCTCTTTTTGATGATTCTTTTGGTGCATTTTCAGCTGATCAGGTTTGTGTGTAAATGCCACTTGGATTAAGTAGTTGCTTTGGTAATAGATAGTGTTTGTTTTCACCCACGTAGGATTTATTAGGAGAAGTGAAACTCCCCACCTAGTCCTGTCTGCTTCTGTTCCTTGCTATCCTTGCATTTCCATTAGTTCTCCTTTAGTAACTGTGGCTGCTGCTGTGAAAATTGAATGCAGTGAACAGCCATGGGACATCTTCACCTGCAGTTTTAGGTCACCCCTATATTTTTAGGGGTGAAAAAGCTGTCTCGTTTCTCCCTCCTTTCCATCTTTATAGTTAAATCTTCCACTGGGCAATAGACAATTAAATTTCTTTATTCAAAGACGAGTTTCATCGTGAACATCCAGTAACTTTTGAGCCTCAATAAACTGAGTGCTGTTAAGATGCCTCTCAAGTGAACTTCTTTGCAGCTACTGTAAGTTGAGGGCAGTGGTGTTCCTGAGGAATTCTAGCCAAATTTATTTCCTTTTGCTGAATTTATTCTGTTGGAGGGGAACAAAGGGACAAGGGGCTTATTAACAGTTTCATTTTTCTTTTGTCATCTCTCTTCTTTAATTCTGTTTAACCATGTTTGCCTTTTCTCCTGTGCTTGTGCTCACTGCCACCTCACTGGGCAGATTTTCACACCGAGGCCCTGTGACTTGTTTGCTGATTCCAATGGGGTTTTTTCACCAAAGAAGGTTGGTTTAGTGACTGTAGTGGATTTAAGTTTAGAAGGAGTTTTTAGATGAAGAGCTTTTTAGCTGTTTGTACCAGAGAGTGTTGGTAGTTCTAGACTTTATTTTGATGTTAACGGGCTTTGCTAAACGAACACCTGACTTGTGTTGCCCAGGAAAAGCCAAAACTGGTTCCACATCAGCTTCAATATTTTACTGAGGCAACATTTTCACAGAGACTTTACGTGGATTTTTTTTTTCTCCAGCTGAAGCCTTTGTTCCCTTTATGGATTGATATTTCAGACAACTTAAGCAATCTGAGCTGTATTTCTGCTGGTACTTTGTGATGCTTTTCAGTACTGCAAGAGAAAAAATACATTATGGAATAACCTCAAACGTGGCAACACTGCTGGATCATTCCACATCCTCCACAGCTGCAGGAAGGAACCTGAATTTAATTCCCAGCTCTCAATTAACTTTTTTCTCTCTGTTCTTCCAGACTCCCCATCTTGTGAACCTTAATGAAGATCCTCTCATGTCTGAGTGTCTGCTGTACTACATCAAAGATGGCATCACCAGGTGAGGGTTGGGGCTGCCACACTCTCAGCTTGCTGCTTTTGCTTCCCTAAATCCCCATGCTCCATGAATTTAAATAATGACTGTGCCCTGAGCTGGTCAACTTGTAGGTACAAGTGAAGCATGAGGTTGCTGTAGGTGGAAAATAAAATAAAAAAAAGGGACAGAAATGCATTTCCTTTTCAGTTGATTTGATGTTTTGAAGGTGATGGAAAGCAGTCACTCAGCTGTAAGGGGTGGTTGTTACACCTGGGCAGTAAAAGAAAGGCTGAGATCCCCTCTGAGGTGCAGGAAAACAAAAGTAATAGATGCCTGAGAGATTGTGATGGGTGCAGGATTGAAAACCATAGCAGCTGGAGTATGGATGAGTGTTCACTTTCCTATTTAAATAAACTCTTATCCATGCCTGTGCACAATTAATGCATTCTGCATTCACATGTAGGAGATAATTTAATTGCCACATTCGGAATTGTAAATGGATGTTATTCCAAAACTTGTTGTCAAGACAGCTGGAAGGAAAGAGGTGATTTTTTATTATCTTTGGAGCACCAAACTGTGTTTGGTTGCTTAGTCTGTACATTCCTGGGGAACAACTGGAGGAGAGTTCACAGACAGGGGCTGGCCCTGCTCTGATATGCATGGGGCCTGCTGAAAGGAACATCAAATTATAGAGAATTCAGCACAGAAAGATGAATGGAACAGCTTAGGGCTTAAAAAATCAATGTTGAGCCTAGCTGGCTGACATCAGGAAATGTGTAAAGTAATAAGCAGAGCAAGTTCATGAACATTAGGATTGGAAATGAAGTTGTCTGTATCTAGGATTGCTCAGACACTTGAGTTTGCAATGGGCATAAATCTTCATGCTCCAGGGATGCAGCCAACCTCTTGCTGTCTGAAGCATCAAATTATTCAGCAGGAGTCTCCTGAGCCACTTTTGCTGCCTTGCTGAAGTGCAGATGGTGATTATTGGGAGGGATGATCCCTGTCTGCTGCTGAAAACGCAGCGCTGCAAGTTCTTCTTCCTTCTGCAGCCTTTCCTAAAGGCAGAATTGAGGTGCACAAGAGGGAAATAATTGCATTGAATCCAGAGGTGCTTAACACTTCAATTCTCTCTTTAAGTTACATGTTTTTAGAGAGAGAAAACTTCTCTTTGCTTTGTGAAGCTGTTATCCTCCACTCCGTGGGAAAGCTGCGGTGCAGAATTAAATGCTCCTTCAAGCCTTTAAACTAGGAGGATAGTTTGAATAATTTAGACTTTTTCCTGGGTATTTCTGGGCTGTGTTGTCCCACACAGAGCTGTGGAAAGTGTGTGATTTGCTCTTGAAACACCTTCTGTGTGCCCCAGGGTCGGCCAGGCTGATGCTGAGCGAAGGCAGGACATCGTCCTGAGCGGGGCTCACATCAAGGAGGAGCACTGCATCTTCAGAAGTGAGAGGAACAACAATGGGGAAGGTAAAAAAACTGCTCCTGCTGGCAAAGTGTTGCTGAATCTCTCGCTCCTCACTTGCTGCTTGGCCTGGGAATGCTGGGATTTGGAAGTGACCTGAGGAAAAACGAGCAGCTTTGACTCGCTGTTTGCTTCGGTCTTAGGGGAGGAAAATAAAATTTGTTCCAGTGATAATAACTTCAAATCGTGATAACAGCTCCGAATTGCAGGCTGCAGCCGGTGTAACAGCTAAATTATGACCTTAGTTAACTGCAAACATGAAAAGTAATTTCCAGCTGCAGTGTGTGGAGGTGTCAGTAGTATTGATTTCCTCATGGGGTTTATTTTTAACCAGCAGGACATCCAGCGATTCGCTTTTTTGGTGAAGACAGGCAGAAAATGGGAGGCCTTGGGGGGGGCTTGCACACTTGTGTTTCTCTGAAGTCTCACTCGTCAGTGCTGATTTCTTTGCAGTTATTGTTACTCTGGAGCCTTGTGAACGATCAGAGACCTACGTGAATGGCAAGAGGGTGGTGCAGCCCGTGCAGCTGCGCTCGGGTAAGGAATGTTTCACTGGCCTTTTCTGCAGATTCTCCCTGTGTGACATTTCCATCACATGCTGGGTGCTGTGTAGGGGCAGGGTCACCTTTCTGGAGTGGAGCTTCTGAACAGAAGTTGGTGCCATTCTTCCCTCAGCTGCAGTTTGTTTTCTTGCATCCTTTGCTTCCCCAGCTCTGAGTGTATTTAAATCTTCACTGCCACGCAGCATCCTGCCTGTCCTGCTGCTTCCCCCCAGATTATTCAAATTATCCTGCCCAAACCTATTGCCCTTGGCACTCCCCGTGAGACAGAGCAGACAGACTGCCAGTGGCTGATGGAAAATTCCCAGTTTCCTGGCAAAGCTGAGATCTGCCCCTCTGCTGGAGAGCAGCAGCTCCTCTTTGCTCTCATTACATTTCCCACTCAGCCCCCTCTGCACTCCTTTAGAAATGCAAGAGGGGGAAGAACTGGAGAGGAGGGAATGACTTCCCTAAATTGTGGGGTTCAGCATGTCTCTCTCAAGCTCTGATGCTTTCTGGGTTTCTATGCCCTCCCCCATTTTTCCACTGGTAAAAAAAACCCTAAAATCAAGCAAACAAACCCCACCTCTGAGTCCTTTGTGCCAAGCTGGGAGTATTTTCATGGATCCAAGTGCAGTGACTGCAGTACAAGATTGGACAGTAAAGGAGGAACAGTTTTTGCTGTTTTGAGTCTGCATATGGTTCATATTGAATACCATGACTGGAGAATTTATTTTCTCTTTAAAGAAGTACATTTTTTCCCTTCTGCATCTAGAAAATTAAGTTACTGGCAGAATATAGACATGGTGTCTGACATCTATAAGAGCCTCTGTCTTGGTCGTGAATTGATAAGGACAGTTTTGGTTACTTTGGAGGTGTATTTACTAGTTAAAATTTTAACTCCATTAATGTGCTCTCTGGAAGAGCAGAGACATTTTAATGCCTTCCAACATCCACATGGGGACATCTGATAACTGTAGGATTTAGCCAGAAGACTTACCAATATTAGATTTCTTCAGCTCTTTTGACATTGGTATGAAAGAAGCTGTAAAATCCTTCCCTAAATCCCACTGGCTGGGACTCCAATAAAATCCATACACATAAACCACATTTTAAAGCAGAGTAAAGCACCATGTGCTCCAGTGTTTGAAGTCAGGCTTTTCCAGATGAAAGTTCTGCCTGAAGTGGCTTTTGCCTGCGTGGAGGAGAGGAATGGGATTTGGTGATGTGTTTGATTTACTGCAACTCTTGGTCCTCACTCCCAGGTTTGTCCTTGAATTCTTTCTAAACTCTGCTGGGATGTCAGGTGGGACCCCTGAGGGTGAGGATGCCCTCTGTGAGCAGTGACTGTCCTGTACAAACCACTCTCCTTTTCTTCTTGTCCCCTACTTGTGTGCACACAGAAATCTCGCAGGGCAATCCTCTCTTAGGCCGTCACCCCATGGGATAAATGGGAGGAATCATTGAGTGATGCTTGTCAGGGCTTTTGGAATCCTTTTACCTCCCCAAAGAGTTAAAACTTCTGCTCCTGTTTGTAGGAAATCGTATCATCATGGGGAAAAATCACGTCTTCAGATTCAACCACCCAGAGCAAGCACGGGCAGAGAGAGAGAAAACACCCTCAGCTGAGACTCCCTCGGAGCCAGTTGACTGGACATTTGCCCAGAGGGAGCTCCTGGAGAAGCAGGGCATTGACATGAAGCAGGAGATGGAGAAAAGGTAACAAAATAACTCAGAATTTCTACCTGAAGCAAGGAGGAGTCAGCAGCAGGTTGCCAGGTTCTGCCACACAGTGCCTCTGCCACCCACTGTGGAAGCTCAGAAAGCTCCCTCCTTATTTTCCTGTGGGGTTTCAGTGCCCTAACTCCTTTAACAGTCATGGGTGAGCACCTACCACAAACCCTCCAGACCTTTTGGTGAAGGGCTGAAGCTCTCAGGGAGTTCCACCACTGTAGGGCCTGAATAGTCAGAGAACAGCTCCTTGGAAGGGCAGGGATTTTTCCTCTTGGAACTGAAATTCGGGGGCTGGGGTGGGTGTAGAGTAACCCCATCGAGAAAATAATCACCTCTGACTCCTTGTGTTCTTTTGTTCCTCTTCAGATTACAAGAAATGGAGATTTTATATAAGAAGGAGAAGGAGGAAGCTGATCTCTTGCTGGAGCAGCAAAGACTGGTATGTGTCCTCACTTCTGATTAACTACACCTTTGGCAAACAGTAATTCCTGTCCTTGCTTATCTGGAAGTTTAGGAATCCTGCTTGGGTTGTCTGCACAATGCAGTTCTCCCTTTTGCTTTCAAATTCTTTTGTGTCTCCAGTGAATTTTCAGCAGTGTGAGTGAGCTCCTTCTTGTTCATTCAGAGATTGTGATTGACAATGAAGAGGCTTTAGCCCATTCTTGTTGGGATAGTTTGGGTTTCCTTCTTGCAAGTTCACCTGAAGGAAGGGCATTTTTGTGCTCCTGTGGTTTTTTTTTTTTTGAAGTTCTTTTCAGTAGTCTATGAACAGCTCCTCTTTGGGATGTTTGCCTTTATTTTTGTCTCAGACCACCAGAACATACTAATTTTGTGCTGCCAAAGAGATTCCTAGAACATTGATACACCAGGGGTAGTTTTTGACTGATGTCTGGAAATGTTGCTGCATTGTGCATGTTTTAACCCTTCTCCCTCCCCTGCATGGAGTTCCTTGTGAGGGTCTTAGTGGTACCGGTGGGGTTATGGCCAGGGAACAGTGTGCAAAGGGAATGTTAACTCCTTCAGAACGCTGGGAATTCCACCATTCCACACAGTTCTTAGATAGGAAGTCTGATAAATGAAGTCTGAGACAGGAAGGCTTCAGTCTCCTCACAACAAATATCCTTGAAGTGCATCACAAATAGAAATTGCTGCAGTCTTCAAGCACCCTGTGAATTTGAAAATTAAGGCCAAGCCCAGCAATGAAATCTCGATTTCCTTAAGAAACCTGAGTGCAGATCCTGCTTTAGCTGCTTGTCTTCAGGCTGAACACAGAGGTAGTTCAGTGCCTGAATTCTGCTAAAAATTTCAAACTCATTTGTTTATAGTAGGAGATTGAGACCACTGAAAACTGTGGGTTTAATGCATGCTGGGCTTTGAGCTGTAAAACTCTTCCCCTTCTCACAAAACCAGATTGGAGCAAAGTGCTGTGGCTTCCAGGGGAAGAAGCTCCATAATTTTATTTTTTTTTTTAATTTTTAATTTATATTACACACTTAAAGACTTCTGCATCTCTAATTATTTCATCACAAAGGAATAATTCCTTGGGTGGAGGGGAGTGGCTGCAGACTTTGAACCAAAGCAACCCCGTAATTCAGAAAGGAAGTTAAGCTGTGACTAATGTAATGTTTCATCTCTGGAATTTTATAGCTAAAATGTGGGTAGCAGCAAAAATCAGTGCAGTGTGGAAATAAAAAACCAGTTTGAGGATGGAGCAGCTTCTGGCAACGTGTCAAACGAGACACAAGGAATGGAATTCCCTGCCTTCCATTTTAGCTGACAGGCACCAGCAAAGCTGTGGCATGAATTAAAGATGTGGAGTTGGCTGTCTGGGAAGCTGCTGTTTGTAAAGTGCCGTGGAGGGAATTTGTTTCCCCAGGTACTTCAGATTAAGGGAAGGCTCTTCGGGGAGCAGGTTGGATAACACTGTGAGAAAGGTGCTGTTTCTTCCAGCTCCTTTTGTCCTGGCTGGTTTCAGTCAGTGGGCAGAGGGGCAATACTGTCCAGCAGCAGCAGTTCCTGCAGGACACCTTTCCTAGTTGGGAGGGATGATATCAGATGAGATCCTTGGTCGCTGAGCAGTGATCCTGCTCATCACAGTGCTCGGTAAGAACGTTTCAGGTGGCAGCAACGCTTGCTGACCCAGTCTGTCATTTCTGGGTCACTGTGCAGGGCCTGGGATGGGCAGGATTAGTGCACCCCTACAGCACCAGGTGAATTATGAGGGGGAAATCTGGGAATGCATTTCAGCTCCTGTACCTCAGAGGTATTTGCAATGCTGCCCTATCCAGCTGCAATATCAGGTTCTCTAATTTACTGCTGGGCAAGACTGATATTGAAATGCAAAGACTCTTCCTGGTCTAAATTGGAGTAGAATGTGGGATATAAGAAGCTGGCTAATCCTGGTTACCAGATGGTTTTGGTTTTGTGCTGAGATTCCAACCAATTTGGGTGTTCGTTTGGTAGATGTACTGTACAAAAAAAAGATAAACCATAACTCCTGTCCCCCAAAATTCACAGCTAAAATATATCTTTGCCTTGCTAGTGTGACTAGGGAAGAGAAACAGTCGTCCTGCATTTTACAAATTGAATGTGAGAATGTGTTTAGTAAAATGGTCTTCCTGGTTTTCTGGGCCATGATGGCTCTGCAGTGACCACTGATACTGGAGTGTGGGTTTATGGCTGTGCTGATTGGTCTGGGTGGCCTGTGAGTGCACTCAGGGCAATGACACAGTGGCTCTTCATCAGCTTTTGGTACCAAGACATGCTTTGTACCCATCAGTAGTTCTGTGGTAGTTTTGTAACCTGTCAGAATCCTGTGGAACTCGTGAGTTAATGTTGAAGTAGTTCGTGTTTTGCCTTTCTGGTCACATCCCTGAGTGGTCAGACTGCACAGTGTCTTCCTCCAGGGCACCTTTGGTTTCCCCTGCAATCTGCAGTTTGGTGGAGGCTCTTTCCTCGGGCCACAAATTTTGTCAGCTGTAAACACACAAAGAGTTTTATATTCTGTTTCTAAACCAGTGGTTTGCTTTTATTTTGACCTCAATCAGAAGTTGACTGCCTAGTACTAATTCTAAAAAAAAAAAATACAAAAAAAGTCACAAGAAGCTCAAATAACGTGAATTTTGACCGTAGGGCAGAACAGTATTTCCTTCACCCCCAAAAGCAATTACAGTGTATTCCCCACTCTTCGTGGTCATCCACCCCAAGTCTAAAATGCACAAACCCTGGGGTTCCTTTTGTTTTAGAGTCACTGGCTGTTACTGTTCCTGCTTTCTCATGTATTAGAACTCTCCCTGTGGCAAACAGGGATGTTAGAGAGATGTTAGACACCGACGGCCGTGTTGGATTGAAGATCTTTGGATCACAATAATCCATAGGAGACTTTTTGGCTTGTTAATGAGATGTCTTAACTCACTCATCCTTTAAAGAAAAGTGGTCTGGCCTTTAATTCCTGGTTGCAGTAAGGAGTAATGGATATCCTTAACTTGTGGTGGCAGTTTACCCGGACAGACATTCCTAGAATCTGGAAACACGAAGCACTGCTCAGTAAAAATCATTTAGCAAAAGGTGGAAAACCTGTAATGAAGAAGCAAAACTCGTGTAATGCTTAGCAAGTGTGTGGAAGCTCCAGGCTCTAGGGTGTGAGAAGAAGACAAGTCAAGGATATATCAAATAGAGAATTCGTATTAAAACAATCTATTAAAAAAAAAATAAAAATAAAGTCCTTACTCTGCATTCTGCTGAGATTCATCCTTCGGACAGACAAGACTGATAATGGTTTTTTCTTTAAACTAAGCAACAAGGTGCCAAACGGGAAAAAAAACCCAAAACAAACCAGAAACCAACCCACAACCCTCCTCTGAAAACTCTTGATTCTGGATATCCTTTTAGCTTGTAGCAAGTCTTGGAGTATGAACCACTGTCTTCACCTGTCATAGTGGCACTTACAGTCCTTTTAACATTGAACCTCTCGGCTGCTTCTGTTTTATTTCCCCTTGTGGTCTAACACTTCTCTGGCTGCTGTTGTAGTGAAGTGGATTCTAAACTCGAGCACCCCTGCAACCACGTGCAACGTTACTAACCAGTGTTAACCCGACTTACTCTGACACTGCTGCTCGTGACACCTTCTCTGATGGCTCTTGTGTTCACCTACCTGGGGAGGACTTGCTGAGAGAAGCCCCAGCAGTCACCGAGGCAAACGTGTGTGCCGGGGATTTGCATGTCTTTGTAGCATGTGGGAAGTGCAGTTTTTACACTTGGTTTTTAATTTTTTTTTTTTATTATTATTATTATTTTTTTTTTAAATCAGGAACCTGGTTTTAGTTGGTCTGTTTAAAGATTTTTGGAAGGGAATGGGAGGGAAGAGTTCAGATTATCTGCTGTTTTGAGATGACAAGGCTTTTAAATATAATGTTAATTTAGTGAAGGGCTCCAATTTTGCCAGTCCGTGACTCCTGAAGAGACATTTTAATGCCCTAACACTCAGTCTTCAGGGACTTCCTTATCACTTGTTCTATTTTGATTTTTGATTTAGTTTTCTTTGCCTGCTACTTCTTGTTTAGCTTTTCCATTTTCTTACAATTTTAATTTTGGTTATTTTGGGGCCACTTCTTGATTTTTGTTTTTCCAAAGGATGCAGACTCTGATAGTGGGGATGATTCGGACAAGAGATCGTGTGAGGAGAGTTGGAGACTGATCACTTCCCTGAGAGAGAAGCTGCCCCCCAGCAAGCTCCAAACCATTGTAAAAAAGTGTGGCCTCCCCAGCAGTGGGAAGAAACGAGAACCCATTAAAATGTACCAGATACCCCAGCGGCGACGCCTTAGCAAAGACTCCAAATGGGTCACCATCTCAGACCTAAAGATTCAGGCTGTGAAGGAGATTTGCTATGAGGTAGCGCTCAATGACTTCAGGCACACTAGGCAGGAGATTGAGGCCCTGGCCATTGTTAAAATGAAGGAGCTTTGTGCCATGTACGGCAAAAAAGATCCCAACGAGCGCGAGTCGTGGCGAGCCGTGGCTCGGGACGTCTGGGACACGGTGGGGGTCGGAGACGAGAAGATCGAGGACGTGATGGCCAACGGCAAAGGAATAACCGACGTGGACGACCTGAAGGTGCACATAGACAAATTGGAAGACATTTTGCAAGAAGTGAAGAAGCAGAACAACATGAAGGACGAAGAGATCAAAGTTCTCCGAAATAAGATGCTGAAAATGGAGAAGGTTCTGCCCCTGATAGGGTCTCCAGAGAAAGCTCAGTCCGCCGTAGCTAACGCCAAGTCTCCAAACTCCGCCGGCGCGGGGGACGTGGACAAGAAGCCGGTGGATGACCTCAAGAGGAGCGAGAACGATGAACTTGCCAAGGAGGAACGCGTTTCTCAGCTGATGGCAGGTGACCCAGCTTTCAGACGCGGGCGCTTACGTTGGATGAGGCAGGAG